CCCGGTGTGTAGCCGGCTCGGTGTCTCTGGAAACCATGGTTGGAGGCGTGAGGGATTGCTCACTAAACGCTGGCGGCAGGTGAGGGGCTACGACGCGGCGTGGTCGAGCGAGGTGACCTGCGAGGGAAATGAGGTCGCGGTCCTGCGTGATCATGGGGTCAGGCGTCCCGGCAGCAGTGCAGGGGAGGGGCTGTGTCTGTTGGGAGAGGCTGTTGGGAAACGGGGGTCGCAGTGCTCCGCCCACCGCCCAGCCTGCCTCCATTCTCTGCCGGCCCTGGCTCCTTGGGAGATGCAGGTGGGAGGGCCGTCGCCACCATGGGGAGCCAGATGGGCCCCATGGCTGCTCCCCAGAGGTGCAAGCCGTGACCTCCGCCCTGCACTGGCCTCTTGCCACTCTGAGGATCAGCCAGTTTCCAATGGTAGGCTGGCGCCTCTCTGTGCCAAGTGATGCGGCGCTTGGGGAGATGCCTGGGCATGGCCTGTCGGGCCAATCACAGGAGCTCCAGGCCCCCCTCTGCCTGGCCCTTCATGCAGGGACTCAGCAGGCAGGCAGTCTTCTGGCATGAGTGCCCCTGGGCTCAGGAGTGGGACTCACCTGGCCTCAGGGACAGTGACTTACCTGGGCTCAGGGGCATGGGCTCAGCTGGGCTTAGGGACAGGGACTCACCTGGGCTCAGGGACAGAGACTCACCTGGGCTCAGGGGCATGGACTCACCTGGGCTCAGGAGCGGAGGCCTAGCCTTTTTCTCCCAGTGACCACACCATTCTGTTGTGGACACCCAGCAAGGTGCACAGTGAGGAAGTGCTTGGGAAGGGGCTCCCTGCGGCATGTCGGGGGGCCGGGATGGCAGGCGGGCCCCTCCTAGCCCCTGGTCTTTCCTGTTCCTGTGTCTGAGTGGCACATGGGAACCTCACCTTGCTTTCCGTTTGGCTGAAATTCATTAACTGCCAGGAAATCATGGATTTCCAAGCCCTGCTTTTTCCATAGCCTTTTGCTTAGCAGAGAAAATCAAATGGATGCAAGCAAATAATGAGAAACAGCTCCCAATGAGCTTTGCTCAAACGCGGGGCTGTCTGGTGGTGGGTGTTCTGCGGAGGCGACTCCGATGCCCATGAGGGGTCCCTGCCAGGTGCCACAGGCCAGGTGTCTGAGCGTGGAGAACCCTTAGAGGTTCTCCACAGTGTGTGCGGACAATTCTAGCAAGAAGAGCCAAATGCCGAGGAGCGTCTGGGCGAGGCTCACACGTGCTGCCAGGTGACAAACTGCTTTTGCTAAGCCCACTTGGTTTGGCGGCTCCCTTTCAATGAGGCCTTCTCAGGAACACAGCCCCAGGGAGCACATTTCACTGGCCTTGAAAGAGAAAGTGCTCACGAAGGGGACAGTCCCTCGCATCACCAGTAACCGCGGCCTCCTCTCATCTGCACACTGGCCCTGGCTCCCTGACCCACAAGGTTGAACCAAATGCCCACCTCCCATCACTCAGGGATGGCGGCTGGGAAGGGAACCGCAGTGCAGCCTGGGGCCTGGCACCTGGTGGGGGGAAGCGAGAGGACTGACCCAGGCAAGCTTCTTTGCCTCCCTTAGCGGCCCCATGGTTCTCACCGGTAAACTGGAGTTGCCATGAAGCTCACTGTGTCAGGTGCTGGCTGTGCACCCCGGTTCAATGGCTCTGTCCTCACGATGGCGGCCTACGAAGCAGGCGCTGTTGTTCTCCTGCTGCATAGACGCTGCCACAAGGCCCAGAGACCTCGAGGCACTTGCTCGAATATGCACAGTGGACACCGTCCAGAAAGGTTGAACACACACCTTCCAACCACCCTCCATCCCCAGAAGGACTCCCACGGACATGCAGGGAGCAAACACAGGGACGATCCGGATTGCACTTGGCCAGGAAGGCTCAGCTGGTGCTGGTCTACACGGCTGCTACTACCACCAGGTGGATTGCACTTGGCCAGGAAGGCTCAGCTGGTGCTGGTCTACACGGCTGCTACTACCACCAGGTGGATTGCACTTGGCCAGGAAGGCTCAGCTGGTGCTGGTCTATACTGCTGCTACTACCACCAGGGAACCCGAGAAAGCGATTGTTTCAACAATATGATCAAGAGAAAAATAGAGGAGGAGGAGCCAGGGTGAAGGCCCCTGTCCCTCCTGGGCCTCCAGCCTATACACAAAGCCCAGCGGTTGCCCTTTACGTGAGAGGAATTTCTGAACACTACCCCGTTAAAAGCCAGTCCTGAAATCCGTCTTCCGCAGAACTCAAAGCTGCTCCCAGTTTTCTGGGAATTCCAGCCTGCGTGGGAGAGCCTCAGGGTTAGGGACAAGGGGCTGGTGGCTGGTGCTGGAGGAAGTCCCTGTGCCTGTCACCAGGGGGTCACATTCAGGCTCCTGGGCGGCTGGGGCGAAGGGCCTCCCAGTCATGAATCCTGCCATGGGTGAAGAAGGTGCCAACCCGGAGCCCCCTCCCAGCACCTCTGTGGCATCTCCCCCGCTCCCCATCCTCCCACCCCATCCCTGCTTCCCAGCGCCTCTGTGGCATTGCCCCTGCTCCCGTGCAGCCATCCTCCCACCCCACCCCTGCCTGGTTTTCTGGAACCCCTGGAACCAGCATCACACAAGTGAGCAAGTGGCTCTTTCCAATCTTACAACACCCGCGGTGGAAGGAACAGGTGGAAAGATTGTTGAGACTTGTAAATTAGTTGCTAATGAGGAAAATTAGGAAATTTGCTGAGGCATAAAAAATGAGAAGTCCGGAGAAAGAAGACAAATGGACCCGCAGCTATTCCCGCCCCACCCCCACCCCTCGCCCTTTCACACCCTGGTTTAGACCAGACCGAAATACAGATCTGATGCCTGGGTTAATGCAAAGAAATTGCTTTAAAATGTAAAGGTGATTAATGGGATTACTGTGTAAAAAATGGTTAAAGTATGTCAGGGAATGAGGAGGAAGTGGGGGCCCGTGTTTCCTGGGCCACCTGCCACCTGCCCGGCCCGTGGAACGTGCGCTGCCAACGTCACTTCCCAGAACACTCAGAAGGACCCTGCCAGGTGACCACTGTCATTCTGCGTCTGCAGATGAGAAGCCCTGGCCTGCCCAGCCTACTCCTGGAGCCTGGTGGTTGCTGCCCACACCCCCTCCCGCCTGCGCTGACCCCTGTGGCCACGCCCAGGGCGCAGGTTCAGGACCAGTGCAAAGCAACATGGGACTGTAGCCTGTAGGCTGATGAGTCCAACAGAAGCACCCCCACCCCTATAAGAGGGACGTCCCGAGACCCTGTGGTGGCCGCTGCTGGGGTCTCCAGCCTCTCCGTGGAAGGCTTGTGACAAGTGTGGTGTGTGGCCCCGGACACTTTCTGAGCCTCAGCTGGCCCTGATGCTAAATGGACCCATGGAGGTATTGTGTGGCATTTCTACTGTCTTTTCAACAAAACCCATGGTTTGGAACCTCGGGAAGAAACAAACCTCACACAAATTTGATTCCTAAGGCCCTTCCGTTCGGCCCCCACCGTTCTGAATCCCTAGGATTAGAAAACACTGTGGGGCTGACCCGGAGCTCAGGGACACACCCCACGGTTGCCATGGGAGCCCCGTCCCCTGCGGCTCTCCTCAGGGCCCGGGGTGGGGAGACACCACACAGGGGTGGGCGTGCAGGCCAAGGAGCTCCTCCCCGGGGTTTGAGTCCCAGCGCTGCCCCTCTCCCGTGCAGCCGGGGGAGTGCAGGCCAAGGAACTCCTTGGCCCGGGGGCTTGAGTCCCACCCCTCTCCCGTGCACAGCCTGGGGCAGGTCCTGGCTTCTCTGTGCCTCAGTTTCCTGATCCATAAAGTGGAGATAATAACAGGCCAGGCCCCGGGGCGGTTGCTGAAGGGTAGATTATCCCTGACAGAGGAAAACAAACGATTATAGAAAAAAAAACAGAGCCCCGCCCCCCCACCTGGGCCCCCAACACCTGCAAGGGCCTGCACACCATCAGGATCTTGAGGGGGCAGGCAGGGAAGGGCTGGGCGCCCCCACAGCCCCTGGTTCCCCCGCGAGCCTCGGGCCCTCTTCCCTGGCTGCCATGTCCACGGGCCGCGCTCGGGTCAGTGGCAAGCTAACGCCTTTGTCAGGGTGATTAATAGCGGGGGGACTGTCGTTAATTCACTGCCTAATGACTGCGGCCTGCGTGCTCCGAGTAATCGGGTGATGTATGTGGACCGCGCGCACCTCGTGGCAGAGGTGAAAATCATTTCGACAAGTCAAATATTGTCACAGGGAACAAATGGCTCTCCCTGTTAATAAAAATTAATGAATTTTTTTCTTTCTTTCTTTCTTCTTTTTTTCCTCACCGCTGGCCTGCTAAATGAATCTGAGGGTGGCTGAGTGTGAACGGGCTGGGAAGGGTTAAGTTCTTGATTCCATGGTTAAAACCATGAACGTCTTCATCAGGGTGAGTGTGGCCAGAGGGCCAGGGTGGCCTCACACCTGCAGCCTGGCCGCTTCCCCCAGGAGTGGCTGCAGGCCCTTCCGGGATGGGGATGCAGAGGCCCCCCAGGCCTGAAGGGGTGAGGCTTCCAGAGAGGGGCTGCAGCTGCCCCGGGCTCTCTGGCCCCGAGGGTGATGGGGGCACCTTCAGGCTGTTCTCCCCACCCCTCCACTGCAGCCCCATCACCATGTGGGAGGGAATTAGGGAGCGGAGCTGAGTGGATTAGGACCAGGGGCTGGGCAATGCGTTTATCCAGGGAGGGTCCTCCTGGCCCCTAGAGCCGGAGCCCAAGGTGGTACCAGTTTCCCTAGGAGCATCTGGGTGGCCCCCAGCCCCTACCCTGGCTGTGAGGGGCGGGGAGTCAGGCCTCAAAGGCCTCAGCCTCTGTGGATCCCCACCCCCACTCTGGTGGGAGGCCAGGCCAGGGCAGTGAGCCAGCCCGCCTCTGTGCCCAGAGGAGGCGGGGCTGGGGGAGCAGGGGAAGGGAGGGCCTGCACCCACCATTGGCAACAAAGCTGTCCTGGCCGCTCCCGTCACCAGGGCTGGAGGCACACGGACATGAACGCTGCCGTCCCCACCCCATGATGCAAACCCCCAGTTTTCATCCCAGCAGCCAGGTCTGTCAGGAGCCCGTGGCCTGCTCTGTCTACAGCGGCCATGGTGGAGGCAGGCCCCCGGGAAAACGTGTGTTTCAGCTCCCAGAGCTCAGGTTGATGATGCCAGCCCAAGTGAGGCTGTGCTCCCCAGTCCACCTTGGCTAGAGAGCCCACACAGCCTCGCTGCAGCCCCTAAGAGAAGCCTGGGGCAGGGGCACCCCTGTCCCAGAGCGACCCGCACCCTCAGTGCCCCAGGGAGACCTGCACTGTCCAGACTGACAGGCAGTGCTCACGGCCCTCTCTCCCTCTTGCAATTTTTATTTCGGGGCCACGTTTGTTTACTTGCGGCGTGACTTGCTCTGGCCTATGCACGGCAGCCACAGGCCCAGTTGGTAGGAACTAAAGAGATAAATAAGTCTATAAATAGTTTGGTGGCGGTCGGCTGTTACGGCGCTTGCTCAGCATTTAACCCCTTGTTCCTCCTCCCGGCTGTCAGGGCAGAGCCAGGGAAAGGGAAGCAGAGAACAGAAATCTCCAAGTGTGTTTTCTTTTCTGAACGAGCCCTGGCTGAGTGCACTTTGTCCTCAGGTGGCCTGGCCTGCAGAACCTCCTGCAAGGACCCCGGCCTTGATTGCAACTCCCTCCAAACCCTCAGTGCCCCAGGTGATCTGGCAGCAGGCAGATGTGACCATCTTGGGGTAGCTGACCATCCCTTCCTCGGCCCTCGGTATCCCACTTACAGCCTCCGAGTTTGCAGAAACATAGCTGTCTGTGTATGTTGGGGGACCCTTCCCCAAATCTGCTCTGGCCACGAGCTGAGCTGGCTCCTGTCCTGCCCTCCTCGGGCTGGCAAGCCCAGGCCCCTTCTCCGTGGAACCTGAAGGACCCCAGGACTCCAGAATGCCCAAGCACCTGGCTGAGCCTCCAGCAGGAGCCTGAGGAAGCCTCCAGGTGGGAGGTGACCCTCTTCTCTGTGGCCACCTGAGCCCTCCACCAGCCAGAACCTCTAGTAATCCTGCTTGGATCAGGGGCCTCCTGAGCACAATGTCCTGGGGCAGCGACCCCAGCCCCACGTGCACCCCGGGCGGAGCTGCGATCCAGTAGAATGGGGTCCCCGGTGCCGGAAGAGCATCCCTGGGCCCAGCGGGGGACTGTGAGGTGCTCAATGGCCCCACGATGTCCTTCTGCTGCTGTGGGCCTTGCCGGCTGCCGTGCCAGCTGCCTTAGGTGTGGGGGCCGCCTAGCAATCAGGGTGGAGGAGTTGAGAACAGCATCACCCACTCACATGCAGGTGAGGGGCAGGGCATTACGGCTTTGAACGTCCCCCAAAGTCTTCCAGGTTGGATCTGTGCCTGTTTTACAGAGGAGGAGGCTGAGGTCCAGAAGGTGTAAGTGGCTTTACCCCAGTCCCAAGGTACACAGGCTGGAAGGAGACCCTGCCCTTGCTTATAGGACCGAGAGTCAACCAGGGTGGTGGGGGAAGTCACCCTTACCTGCTTTCCAGAGACCCTGAGACCTGGGCAGTGGGGCTGCTGACGGGAACCTCGTTTCACTTGGGTGGAATAGCCTGTGGGTTTTGTTGATGCTAAGAGTACACCATCGATTCAGGTGTTCACTGGTGTGGGCTTCGCTGTAGCTAGAATGTGGAGACACGCAAGTGTCCATCCACAAGTGAAGAGATAAGCCGGAGGCGGCATGCACATGCCTGGACCATTCCTCAGCCCTCAAAAGGAAGGAAATTGCGACACACGCCACCACCTGGAGGAAACTCGAGGACATTGTGCTAAGCTAAGTAAGCCGGTTGGGAAAGGCCAATATTGTAGGATCCCATTTGCGGGAGGTCCCTAGAGTCATCGCATGCATAGAGACGGAAAGTAGAATGGTGGGTGCCATGGGCTGGGGGAGGGGATGGAGAGTGTCTGACGGGGTAGACTTTCTCTCTGGGGAGATGCGGGCGTTCTGGAGATAGGTGGTGGTGACTGAAGGCAGCACACAGTGTGAATGTGCTTAATGCCAGGGAGCTGTGCACTGAAAAATGACTAAAATGATACATTTTGTGTTATATGTATTTGCCCACAGTCTTTTTAGAAGCACACTGTCAGGCTGCCAGATCTCAGGTCGTGGAGCTAGTGCTTGGAGCCAACACCCCCTGGTATTTGAGGGGTCCAGTGCTTGCACAGTGAAGGGTTAAGGAGTGGCACCCCACTCTGCTGCCGCCCAGATGCTGCTTAGCGCAGGGCTGGGGAGCCTCGGCTGTGATTCAGGAGGGAAACAGTGAGATTTGAGCAATCCGTGGGCTACCTTGCTGCCCCCGGGGCTCGGGGAAGTGGTATATTAACCAAGGAATAAAGGAGAGGAAGAAAAAAGGCCAAATCACATCTCTCTGAAACAAAGAGGCTTTTTACCAGGAACAAGGCTTGATAAAAATTACAGTGGCATCGCGAGTCATTCAGTGCCTGCCCGGGGCGATGGAGGCGGCGAGGAAATACAGGATGCAGGGTCTGAAATGGGAACGCTGCTGTCCCTGGAGCATTGCACGGATAAATAATCGTCTTAGAATAATGCTTCGGCTTTAAGTAGGGCCAGGTGGCCTGAGCTGTCCGACAGAGGCCTCCGTGGTCCTGCGTGAAGGCCAGATTCAGCTTGGCTGGTCTGGGGAGATTCCGGGGGCTGGGAGGGGCGTGCGTGGGCAGTGGTTTCATGGACCCCAGTGGGACTTTGTGGTGGTCTGTGCAGCGCAGCGCACCCAGGCCCACCCGCCTGCCCCAGAGGCATGGGCCACACATAGGTTGGGGCTGCTCGCCCTTCCCCTTGGCAGCGGATGTGCTTCTCTCTGAGCTGCAGGGCTGGTCCCTGGGGCGTGAATGGCAGCCATGCATCCTCCAGGCTGTGATGGGGCCGAGGCTCCCTGCTCAGCAACATGGCTCATCTGGGTGGTTTATCCTCCTGGTGCAAGCCTTTGTTTCTTCCTCTGGGGGGTGGGGGACCAGCAACCTGCTTCAGGGCACCGGGAGCAGGTTATGGCCAGGGGGGCTGGCAGGGAGCGTCGTGTGTTCTCAGCCAGGCCCATGCTGTGGTCGCTTTGGTCTTTGTGTGAGTGTCTTGGGTCTGCTTTAACAAAAGAGCACAAACCGGGTGGACAGAAACAGTCGAAGGGCGCTCTCCTGCTCCGGAGGCCAGAGACGCACAGCGTGGCTGCGGACAGCGTCTTGCTGCCTCTGGAGGCTCTGGGGGAAGAGTCTCCGCTCACCTCTCCCAGCTTCTGGTGGCTCCAGGCCTTCCTTGGCTCAGGGCAAATCCCTGCCTCTGTCATCATACGGGTGTCACCTGGGCATGTGTCTGTGTCCTCCTCCTTGTCCTATAAGGACACCAGTCCCATTGAATCAGGGCCCTCCCCAGTGACCTCACCTGAACTCGGTTACCGCTATAAAGACCTTATTTCCAAACCAGGTCACATTCTGAGGCCGGGAGTTAGGGCTTGAACGCGCCTTTTGGGGTGACATCATTCAACTGGTTACAGTCTTGGGAGCCGCCGGCCAGCCCGGGTGACAGTGGGGGCTGGTGGAGACTCCCCGAGTGAGAAGGGCTGCGTCTGCGCTTCCCCGCGCTGTGCCCTGGACAAGGCCTGGAGTGGGTTTCCGTCCACTTCCTTCATCTCTAAAGCGGAGGCAGCGCTGTGGACCGTCCCTGCCTCCCTCCGTGTCTGCGACAAAGGCGAGTGTGTGTGAAGGTAGCCAGGCCAGGGGGTTGCATCTGGTCAGGACTGGGGAGACAAGGCAGGAAGCCCCACCTCTTTGCTGGGGAGGTTTCTGTACCTCGGTGGCTCCGAGAGGGCTGGGAGCCTGCCTCTGAGGTCAGGGTCCCGCCTTCTCAAGCTCTCCCGGGCCCTAATGACAATTCGGCTTCATCAGCCCCGCAGCTGGGGTTCAACGTTCCCCAGTCCCTGTGGGCCAGGTCCCGGGTGCAGGTTTGGAATAGAAACGGCGATTGATCATTATTAATATTTAGCATGTTTGCAGAAACGGCTTTCTCAGTGCTATTAATCTGCTGTGTTAATAGCGGCCGCTTGGTTCTGGGCGCAGACGTTCAGGAGGTGAATGCCAATGAGTCCCAGCGCTGCAGGGCAGCCGCGGCCCGGGGCAGGTCAGAAGGTGGGACCAGCGGCCAAGGCTCCTCCTAGCACCGTTTCCTGGAGTTACGACAGCTTTGTTTTTGTCTCGAGGCCAAGATCCAGGGTGAGGGGAGAAGCTTTTGCCTTTACCACACAGTTTTAAAGACAGAAAAGAAGAACAAGATAGAACTCCATCAATTCCCAAGTTTCTCTTTCTAGCAAACTGTTTTTGGGAAGGGGTCCTTCAGGATGACCCCTGCCCCTCCAGGCGCCCTCCCCCTGAAGAGGGGCCTTCTGCTCCCCGAGATACACTCTGCAAGGATGTAGGTGTACAGAATCCTCTGTGAGGAAAGGGAACACCCTATTTTTTCTCTAGAAGTTGCCTCCATGCGTGCCTGCTCTCCCTGATCAGCTCCCACAGCCGCAGCCTGCCTGATGTGCCCGCCTCTCCCTCTCCCTGTTTTGTTCAGGGGGCAGGATGGCCCTTCACAGCTCATGGGGACTTGTAGGCACCCAGATGGGGGAGCGTTCTCCAGGTCTCTGACCCACTACACAGCGCTCCTCCCTGCTTGGTTCTGAGAAGGAAAATTGGAGCCAGAGGATGGGGCCTCCACAAGGCTCAAGTGGAACCTGCACTCACTGTGGGAGCCAGGCACATCCCCGGCCGAGTCCCAGAACTCAGACCTGCCCATCCCCCACATGGGTGCAGGGAGGGTGACAGCCAGTCAGTCCTGAAGAAGCAGCAGAGAAACCAGCCCTCTCTCAGAGGTGGGGCCTGGCTGAGAAAGCCCAGATGTTCCTCTCAGATGAGTCGATCAGGGTCAAGGGCAGAGAGGACCCAGAGTTGTTAATGGTGCTTCACTGCTAGGGAAGGAAAGTCAGAAATGGGAGTGAGGGTCCTGCCTTCTACCTTTTCTCTTAAGAGCTGCCCTCGAGGGTTGCTCCCACCCCTATCCATCCATCCACCCACTCACTCACTCATCCATTCATCCATCCATCCACCCACCCATTGATTCACCCACCCATCCATTCACCCACCCATCCATTCATCCATTCATTCATTAACCCATCCATGCACTCATTCATCTATCCATCCATCCATTCATCTATCCATCCATCCATTTATGCATCTATCCCCTCATCTATCCACCCAGCCATTCATCCACCTATCTATGCATTCATCCACCATCTGTCCATCCATCCATCCATCCATCCATCCATCTGCCCATCCATCCGTCCATCCATCTATTCTTTCATCCATACCTCCTTCCATCCATCCCCTTATAAATCCTTCCATCCATCCATCCATTGATTCATCCACCCATCCATTCATCCATTCATTCATTAACCCATCCATGCACTCATTCATCTATCCATCCTTCCTTCCATCCATCCATCCATCCACCCATCCATTCATCTATCCATCTGTGTACCCATCTATCTCCCCATCTATCCACCCAGCCATTCATCCACCTATCTATGCATTCATCCATCATCTGTCCATCCATCCATCTATCCATCCATTCATCCATCCATCCATCTGCCCATCTATCCATCCATCCATCCATTCATCCATCTATTCTTCCATCTGTACCTCCTTCCATCCATCCCCTTATAAATCCATCCATCCATCCACGCATTGATTCACCCACCCATCCATTCATCCATTTATTCATTAACCCATCCATGCACTCATTCACCTATCCATTCTTCCTTCTGTCCATCCATGTATCCACCCATCTATCCACTCATGCATTCACCCATTCATTCACACACCCATTCATTCCTCCATCCATCCAAGTACTCATCCATCCATTTTTCCTTCTACCCACTCATCCATCCATCCATTAACTCATCCATCCATCCATTAACTCATCCATCTACTCATGTATCTATCCACTTATCCATTCATCCATTTATCTATGTATTCATCCACCATCTGTCCATTCATTCACCCATCAACCCATCCATTTAGTCATCCATTCATTCATCTATTCACCCATCCATCAATCTTTCCATCCATTCATAAATTCATCCACCCACCCACTTATCCATTCAGCTATGTATCTCTCCATCCATCTGTCAAACATTTGTTCACACTCCCACCCATACCTCTTCTGCTGGACATGACAAAGTCCATTACTGACTGCCAGGAAACTGTTTCGGGTGTTTTGTCATTGTAGGGAGAACATGGGGTTGTTAGAGTGGTGTTTGAGAGCGTCGAAATCAAGACTGTTTGAACAACTCCCAGCTTGTTCCTGACTAGCTGTATGGCATTTAGGAAGTTGCTCACTCTCTGAGCTTCACTTCTTTGATGTATGAACTGGGTGAGGTCACAACTCTGCCTTCCCTCCCGGGCTGCTGCAAGAATGAACTGGACCACGGTGCCGGCTGCATGCTCCGCGGCCCCGTCAATATCAGCAGCCGGCCAGTCCCCAGGAGAGCGAGCCAATGTCAGTGCTCTATTGTCTGATTAGAGGCTGATTGCTCCAAAGTCTTTCCTGGCATCACTCTGGAATCAAACAGCTGTGTGGTCAACCAGGGACCATGTTTCCTCACAGTCTTGGAGTTGTGATGTAGGCATTCCCTGTCCTGAAGTTTGCCTTCCTTTGTAATCGCATGTATATGTTGGCCTGAACTGATTAGTAAGTTTAGATATTGTTTTGGATGGGCCAGGTGAG